TTTCACTGTGGTAGCTGACGTTGTGTTGTAATTATATACTTTTGAAACAGGAGCTGTGCGCACCTGCTTTAAACAGAAGGCAGAAAACAATGAGCCAGCCATCATCGTGCAGGAAGCCGACGCCAAATGGGCTGCTGCTGAATCGGTCAGGCATGCACCAGCTAGGACCAACAAAATGGTAATATGATATTTCTAATTTTGCTTAAACTGCCGAAAAATACTTTTGCATCCTAAAACAAGCCCAGATTTCAAACAAAGGCATTAGTCCACTTTACATAAAGACATTTTTAAGTATTAAGAAATTTATTTAGCCAATGAAAGAACACCATGTTATGACATTGTCTGCAATGAGCTTGACATTGTAGAAAATATGAGGCTCATTGACATTGCCCCTGGGTCCGGACAGTTCATCAAACGCCGTTTCATTGAACGCCATTTCATCGAAGTTGTTTCATTGAACGTAGCTTATTTGAGCAGTAGAAATATTTTTCTTTTTAGTGTCGGGAGGATAGCAGTGTTTTAATATTTATTGTAACTTATAAACTTATATATATATATAAAAGGAAGGAACCTTTTTTTGTCACCTTGTATTTTTTTTTTTTTTTAGTAAATGATGACTTCTGTTAATGAGGCCAATAAGACACAGTAACACTAACGACACTTTTAAAAGCTGTGATCATCAGGTGCAGTGATGAATGCACATCCATTCAAAAGCGTATACGGTATATATCTTCGTCCTTGAAGAGACCTATTCTGCTTCAAGACGAAGCCATCCTTGAGGCAGTGATCTGTCTCCGTGGCCCATGATATGGGAAAAGAAAAGACGTGTCTCCTCTCTTTGTTAATTTATTATAATCGACAGAACCGTGGACCTGCCGGATATTCGACATACAGTAATATACTGCATGTCAAAGATCCGACAGGTCCACGGTTCTGTCGGTTACAAAAAATTGACGAAGAGGGCAGGCACGTCTTTTTTAAGAACATCTGTGTTCTTAAAAAGAAAGCTATTCTCTTAGGATAAAATGAAAACAAAGTTAAATCTACAAATACAAAATAAAAAAGGCGCTGCGGAAAATAGCTGTTTCCCTCTTAAGAAAGTGACTTTCACGCATGAATAAATAGAAGGTTGAAGTGGGAAAAAGTGAGTGGCCGAGAACAGCCGCCTACCTTGCCAGAAAAGGATAAGTCGCGTATCCACTGTCTCCTGTGGGTAGGTCACACTTTGCGGTAAAAGTCTAAACTGGATGAAAAGAATGGCTTGTGCATGCAAAGAAACTGTGGTGAAACTGCTAGGACAGATGTAGGCATTTCTTTTTTTATCTTGATGACACTCTCTGCCCTGAAATAGGCACCCATTTTCTGAATGCAACCAACTTTTTTGTGTTATTTTTTTGCAGGAGCAGTGTGCCTCTTCTCAGGAGTGACTGAGGGGCTGCCACAAGGGGAGAAGGCAAGCATGTTTCTGATTACAAGGATGGACAGTTGGGCTGGGCTAGTTGGTAAGAATTCATGTTGAGAAACGGTGCGAAAACCAGACAAAGGAAAAAGAACACACAGTACCTTGTCCTGTGTGTTTTCTTATCCGTGCATTTTGCGCTGTTTTTCAGCATGTTTCTGCCTTGATTTTTCTGTTAGTTTTAAATGTTAGTAGTTGGTTACTTTGATCCCAGTTGGAAGCATGGAATTGGTTAACCGTGCTAAATGCATAGAATTAAAAAAAAAAAATTCATGCTTTCTAATTCATTTAAAATGCTTTTTTTCCTAATGATTTCTTTCTCTTTTTTTTACAGCCATCCCATGAGTAGAGTCCCTGTTGTTTGAATTTTTTATGTCAATTTGTAATATGCATATGTTACCTTTAATTTCTATTCATGCATACATTTTAGCCCCAGCTAGTGGTTTCTTTTATTTAATTTATGTACACATTAGTGTGGTATTTTTAGAAGATTTAAAATTTATGTTCTTTTTCTAGTCATTTTTGGTTTATTGCCTCCGTTATTTATTTGTATGTCCTAGCCCAAGATCGGGTGTAATTTGAGATATATTTAGAATTTTATTTTAGGCTACTTGCTTTATGTTGCTGGGAGTTTTAATATTTTTATTTTTATGCAGATCAGCCTTGTAATTTAGTGTGTTCTTTACAATTTTGTAGATCTAATAGCTTGTAAGAAACAGAAGAATTCTCTGGTACTTGTAATGTTGGTTTCGTTTTTGAAATAAATTTATTCCAATAACTTCTTGTTTTCTTCCGGAGTCCTGCTTCTAGGATTTCAAAATGCTGATTCATTAATGGCCTGTAATGCACATCCATTTACTCATATCAGGCACCAGCTCAAAAAATGACTTCATGACAACCATAAATGCAGTTTCCTGGCAGCGCTTGTCAATGTATTTTCGGATAACATTGTTCAGTAATGTCCAAGTAACACATGCAGTAATATCTGGCCAGTGCCAGCATATTGTAAAAACGTTTACTGAAAGTTGACAGAATAAAAGCACTGAGGAAAAATAGATGACCGCTCTTTCATTTAGTTACGACGCTCGTTTTTTGGAAGCAAAGACTCGCGCACAGGTCAAGATTAACTGCAAAAGGAAGGCTTGATCAAAGGAACTTTAGGGAGATAAGGGATGAGTCAGTAACACTCCACCTTCGGTATCTAGTTGATCTCGACCTGTATGCGACTCTTTGCTCCTCAAAAAATAAACATTGTTGCGAAATAAAAGAGTGGTCGTTTGTGTATGTTCTTCACATTTTTATTCCTTCACTTTTAAGTAAGCCGTAATGTCAGTGCAACATTTTGGTGTAACATTACTGGATGGTAGAATTCGTGGCCATTAACAACAACTAGCAACGTTAGCGACGACGTCAGAGTAACATTACTGATCTAGCATCCAGGTAACATAGAGAGCTATGTTACTGCAACATTTTGATGTGACGTTACTGGAAGGTAGAACTGGTGGCCATTAGCAACGTTTGGCAACGTTATCTAACAACGTTCCAGTAACGTTATTTGGGTAATGTCCAGGTAACGTATGCAGTTACGTTACTGTAACATTGTGGTGTAACGTTACTGGAGTGTAGAATCCGCGGTCGTTAGCAGCGTTCGGCAACGTTACCTGACAACATTCCAGTAACGTTGTAGCCACATTTTGTGCTACTTGGGCACATGCCAAGATTTACGATAACAGTGCATTTGATTCGGTGGTCCGTATATACTCCGTTTCACCTTATGTTGTTCCGCAGCGAAGGCTAGAAGCGCGAGCTCATAGCGTTGGGAGCTGCTCTTAACGCACGGGAGCTTGTGCCGCCGAGATGTGCCCTAGAGCAAGGAGCTCGAGCTTGTAGTACCTTTAACTGCTGTACATCATAAGGTGAAACAGAGTATAGTTGTATTTTACCCTGCTCTCTGCAACACCGTGTCATGACGAAGAGCTGGAACGTTCACGGTTTGTGATGGACTACCGGTTGACCTAAAGGCAAATCCAGAACTCCTTTTTTGTGTGTGTGTGTGTGCGGGGCGGGGGGGAGGAGGGGAGGGAAAATCTAAATCAAGATAAACAGGACTCCGGTTGCGCCTTTTGTTAGAACCGCCGCAGAACCACATTGCGCCGACGGCCCCTATAGATGTGCGCCGCTGCGCCGACTTTTGGTTCTAAGCCGTGCTTTGAAACCGCCGCCGCGGACTTCAGTCTCGGTTGAAGTGACGGGGTGGTTCTCCAAGTTCAGAGTACACCTGTGCCTGCTCGGGTGCGACCTACCCTATTTCGAACCCTCGTCCTTGAGTATCGAGGTGATCGAGCCTTCTAGTCGTAGTCGGTTTTATTTCGGGGGATCCACCCATGTCAAATCGCTCTCCGAGAAGGGGGGGGGGGGGTCGACTGTTTCAAAGAAAGCGGCCGCCCCCCCCCCCCCCCCTTCCCTTTTGGGTCCACCCCTGGGTTGACAGAAGCCCGCGTCGCACGAATCGGCAATGAGTGCACTTGGGCTGTTGTAGTGGCTCTAGGCTGTTGATCTCGACGGTGAGGAAGCGGCGAAAGTGACCTCTGAAGTAAATGTAAATCCTTGTTCATCCAGTTATCCGGTGTCAAAGTGTGGAGGGTCCCCAACGTGTACTGAGGGCGGGAACTACGAGCGTTTTGCCTTGCTTTCGTAACCGAAACGAGAACAGCGAGATTTGCTGCCTTGCGTACTCCACAATGATGGAGGCAATAAGTCGTCAAAAACCCGTTTTTAGGGTTTCAAACCAAGTAAACAAGACAAATATAATTAAACTTCGTTGTCTGTATGCAGGAGGACTTATGTAACACAACAGATACATTCTCTTTCCAAAACGAAAAAGAAAGTAAAACTCAGTCCGCCATATATGGCAGCTACTTCTTCGCTGCAGAACCTATGCTGGCAACGTAAGCGGTTTTAATATGGCAGCCTCCGCTTTGCGCCGCGTTCCCTTTCCCTCCTTCCCCCCCCCCCCCCCCTGAACGAAACAAAACGGCCATCTTGGAAAAATCAAAATAGTGATGGTGATAGCGATGGGTCTTCTGTAAAAACTCCGAGGACAAATGTAATCACTTTTTTTCGTTTTCTTGTTTTAATTAATGTAAGGAACACATATTCATCTTAGCAGAAACTAAAATCATGGCAACAAAATAACCTAAAGTTCGAACATTTAGTTGTGCCTAAATACACTTGGTAATGTCTATAAACCTTGTTTCAGTAATTAAATGCAAACAGAACACAGGCGTGGAAACCCTTGCTGATAGCCTTTCCTTGCAAGTGTGAATGGTCAAAAGCCGATGCAATGATAGGCTGAAATACTTCGGGGATAGCATGCTTAAAGTGGCCAGAAATATTAAACGGGGTATATCTATCGTCTTTCCATCAAACTTTTCGGAGCTTAATCTTCTCAATAATTACCTTCTTGCATGTTTCGCGGTAATCCGTGGCATGGATTCACCACACTATTTTTGTCAAGTGTGGCAAGAGGTATGCACCACCATCAGAAAAAAATATGACAATTTATTTAATTACGACAGGAAGCCACGAAAGGTGAAGATGGCAAGACCCGATCCACCAAAAAGGAGTGGGCCTAAGAGTGCAGTCTTCGTCCATGATTCACGACTGTAACCTATGATGAATGCAGAGAACAAAGGAGTCCATCAGGTCAACAGGAACCAATATCTGACCCGAACATGCAGGGCAATGCAGAGCAGGGGCAAATTTATGGGTCAGCCTGGGGGGGGAAGGGAGATGACATCATGGGCAAAATGTTGCCGATCTGTTTTGTTAACCTAATATTTGTTATGTCACTAAACACCAACGTTACTAAAACGCTCAGTTGGAAAACTCACTCTTGGAACCTGGACCGCTGGCGTTCACCGAGACGAAAGAAAATAAATATGATAACAGCGCCACCCTTTTGCGACGAATTAAAACATGCAAGTTGTTTTATTTAGCTACTGCAAAATGGCCCTGCGAGATGGCGCCACGGAGAGTTCCTGTATAGGCTCTTTACAGGAGCCATAGTTGCATGACTGTTTTTCACGTACCGCCGCACCGCTACTCACCGAGATGTGATCATGTGAGGAGCAGACTCAAATGCCGTGCACGAAAGTACACATTGCACGCACCCTGGCATACGTTCCCCTACTCTTGAGCTCACCGTGCTGCCATTCGTCGAATTCAGTCACATCAGGAGCAGGCTCCATATGCCGTGCAGGAACGACGGCGCTACGAGATGAACACGCAACTCTGGCTCCCGTAGGGAGCCTATACAGGAACTTTAGCGCCACTGGCTCTTCTGCGACTCGACGGAACCACTAAGTGTAGCCGTGGAGTTTCCTTAGTGGCTGCTGTGGGAGAAATGGCGGCGTTGCAACAGACTTCTTCCAAAACCAACGCGCCCCATCGCGGCGAAATACCACGCAGTGCCCTCTGGGAACTAGTTGACCACTTAGTTTTGGTTTCGACTGAGCAGCTTCATCTCATGCAATCACGCCGCCACCGAATACGCTGCTTGCGTTTTCGATTATCAGAATTTTTTTACGAATGTACAATACACTCATTCTCGAGCGATACAAAATGAAGAGCGGGGCAATTTCCTTGGTTCCAAAAACACCGGATATTATGCGTGCATATGCAAACGTAGTAAGACGTGGCTTAGTCACCTCACCCCACGAGTGCATCTTTGAGCTCAGTGTCAGTAATCCCGTCCAGTACCAGTGAACTACAACTGAAATTTGGTCACCTTGAGCCCTACACATATTTTGTTTGCCAAACGTATGCTTCTTGTTACTTCATTGGGCGAAAAGCAAGCCACATCCTCACAGGAGTATCAAAGTTGAGCCCACCGTTGGCGCATTAACTTTTAAGGAAACACAATAAATTCAACCTCACTACTGCACAAAAGTTACTATGATGTCTTCCTCATGTCATCACATATCTCACACTCAAATTTTAAGCTGATAGAAGATTAAATTTGTGCAAACGCTAAGATTGGCTAGCTACGACGGAGGCCCTAACAAGTGTCCCCTACTCCTCACTAAGCCTTCTTGGACGAGCTTTTACTAACGCCCAAGATCTGTGCCTGAACGGTGTGTCTGAAATTATCTCGGCACACTCAGTCAGGAAGAAAGCAAACACATAACAAATATTATGGCCATTAGCAACCGTCAAATGCGCTTTGAATAATTTCGTTCGTTCGGCGCACCGCAGAATTCATGCCCGTCCAGTGCACTTCCGGTGAACGGTGCAACATTGTTCACACAAGTGCTCGACTTCTGCTTTCTTTTTTTGTATGTGCGAGTGTACCTATATTATTGCAGGATAACTTTATGAGCATACGCGATGTTGAATATTAGTGGAAGGGGAGCGGGCGGGGACTTCACTTCGTGCAGTGCTGCGGGGCAGTACAGGTAAGAAATGAGAAGTGTGTTCGAATGGAGCTTTTCAATGGCGTGTCTGAGTTTCACTTCGCATACTCAGGCGTATTAAGAAAAACAGTAATGTCAAAAAGTTATTTTCGTCTATGGATGCACGAAAAACAACAAAAAAAAAACAACAAAAAAAAAACTTCCTGGTCAACAACACTAATGTAAAGGCGCGAGCTCGATGTATGCATACTTATTGGTTGCTACAGCTTGTTTATTCGTACACAAGCAAGATCCCCCAGCTTCGCAGCGTCAATATTCCTAGCACTGGCTCGTCCACATACCTCGAAACGCTAACAAAAAGGCTCAAGTACAAAAATACAACAAGCATTGATACATTTCAGGCTTGTGCTAAAGCTTCGAGGTCTGGCCATTTAGGTTAGTTTAAAGACCACAAATGGCGTTCTCGGGACCAGAAAACATGAAATAACGGCCGTTTACAGTCCACACTCCGTGTATAATCTCTTGTCGACGTGTTCATCGAAACCGAAACCATGCCACTCTCCTCCCTGGCTAACTAGTTCCCAGAGTGCAACGCGCGCCGTGTTGCATGCAGGAATTTAGGGAAGTAGTTTATTGCGTTTTAGTTCGGTTCTCGAGTATAGATGGAAGCCACTAATCATTTCTTCCTAACAAAAGCTGGCATATGTAGATTTTTCACTGAAAAAAGTTAACCTTGGGGGCCCTATTCCCCCCACCCTTAAAATCTGCCCATGATGCATGTGCCAAGAAAATGAGGGAGAAGAGTGGAAGAGAGCACGCGGCGACGTCAGGACACCCGAGCTCTGGTTAGAAGGATTGGTGGGTACACCTAAAGCTAGCTGCCTTTGTCTCCACTGAACTCGTCGAGGACGTTTGAATGCGAGAGCCAAACACTGGACGCCCGCGTTCTGCAGTCGAACGTGTTCAACGAGTGCAGCAGAAACAAAGGCTGCCTTTATCCCCACTGCACTCGTCAAACGCATTCGAATGCAAATGCGAAACGCTGGACACCGACGTTCTGCACGTTGTTATGAACGGCCCCCGGACCAGACCGTCTCTATCTAATCCAACCGGCACCGGTGAACTCCTTGAGTATCGTCGCCATATGGTTCCAGTCAGTCGAGCCCGGAGACGAGGCGAGAGGCGACAAAGGGATGCCGTGGCTTTCGACGGAGGACCCCCCTGTTGATGTCGCCACACCTAGGCGCGAAGCTGAGCCAGATCCTTCTTCCTGGCTGCGTTTACGCTGGCCGGAAACGGGGTGAGCCGACGCAGGAACCGGGGGATTCCCATGCGAGGATTCCGGGTGACGGCACGCCAGCTGCGGGACCTCAGTGAGGGTTCGGCGGGGATTATCTTCGGACGCCACTACTCCGGCCAAACCCTTTCTCGTGCTGCCGCCTGATGGAGGGATCGGCACTATCTCGGCCAACGTCGTCTCCCGGGCTGACAGTGGACCCTTTGTTGTCGCCTCCTCGGCGCGGCATTCGAGGGCGAGAGTGACTCAGCGCCGGGATGTGATGTCCGGCCGCCACTACACTGTGTGCTTGTGCGTGCTAGTGGGCGGGGCCTGACCAGTTGGGGAACGGCGTCCTTGCCTAGGGACGTAGGGAAGGGGGACCTTATAAAAAGAGCGGTTTTACGCGCTCTTTCTGTGTTCTCACGTTGTTCTCATGCCGAACGGCAGACTGTACATAGTATGTAAATAAACAGTTTGAGAAGAGACACCCTGGCTCGCTACCAACTCTGCCCGATGTCCTGGGCGACGCATGGCTCCAGCGGAGATCGACTACATGGACAAGCCCCGAGTCACAACAACGTGCAGTACAGACAAAGGCAGTTAGTTAGGTTTAGGTCTACCCACTAATCGTTCCAATCGGAGCTCTGCGTTTTGACATTCCTGCACCCTCATCCCCTCCTCTCTCTCAATTTCTTGGCACATAGAGTTCTGGAAGTTTAACAACAGTGGCTAGTGAAAAATCCAACGGACATGACATCCACAAAAAAAAAAAGCAGCTTTCTTTGGGATTTTTTAAAGTTGTTCTAAATTGCACAGCACTCATAGGATCTCTTTGCACTTAACCCGTCTCCCGTAGCACACTTCAGGACTAATCGCCAGACGACCGTCAATTCAGAAGACCGTCCCACACAATCTCGCAGGTCCCCCGAAAATGGGAGACGTGCGGAGGAGTGCGAGAATAGGCCAGCAGGGTGGCATACTCTCCCTGACACGATTCGGAACGAGCAGGTTTAAAGCCAGACGACTCCAGAAGGAACGTCTGCACGTCCGCAGCTTACGTCCCCTTGGGGGAGGGAAACCAGTGGCTCCCACAACAGACACTCACTTTTCCATTAACAAAATTATTGAGACTTCTTTAATACAGCCGTCAAATAAAGCAATCGTGCTCAGCTGCTGAACAGCTGCGCTTGTTTTGACGTTCAGTAGGTGCACCGAGAACTCCAACTCGAGTTACTCCGTTCGGAGCTGAGGGAGCCGCTACTGAACGCACCATCACCACTACTGCAAGGGAGGTCACGTGGAAATATTGTGTCCCTGAACTGCTTCTGCCGCTTCGAACACCTTAGAGTTGTCAGAGCTGCTCGTCGGTTTCAAGTCGTACCCAAACCCAGCAATGCGTGTCGCTGTGGAGGGGGGAATAACTCATCAGCTGCCCAAAAACTATATGAGTAACTTATCCCATGAGTAGCGGGCCTTATAGCAAGCTCGTTTCAAACGCACTGGCATTATGCGAGTCATCTCCCAGAGTGCACCACACTCGCGGAGTGCCGCATGAAGAACCGGTCTCAAACTAACTTACCGAGTGCAGCCTGATGCTGTCACCATTTGCATTGTAGTAAGAGTGCAGACCTCAAACTGAAATTAGCGCTCCGCTGTTCGACATGACGGGCAGGAATGTGATTGTGAGTTGCTGCAACAAGCAGTTTATATCTGTGATGACTTCAAACAACTCGGCTGTAAGAGATATTTACAAATGGCATTAGTTCCTGTAACCAGCTCAGTACAAAACAGCTGTAACTTTTTGTTGAACGATACACTGGAAAAAAACTGTTTGCGCAAAAGCTTGATCAGAGCAAACGCAAGAAATTTGAAGGCTAGGCACGCCTTGAGGAACAAAAGGATGCCCACACGACGCTTTCTCTGAAGCGTGCTCCTTCTGTACGAACAGTCCAAGTTAATTATAGGGTTAGAATATTGTTTGCCAGTTTCACGCTATTTTGGATGGGTGTGATCTTGGTGGCAAGCTCAGTCTCGTCGTAAAGCGGTACTCGGTCTTGTTGACTGATATTGCCGTTTCGTTTGACACTGCGATGTGCAACACTCTCGAAGCTAGCTAGCTGTAGGGCACGTTTCATTCTTGATTATCGCCGCTTGTCCAGAAATCTCTGTGACACTTGTTACAAATGCAAGCCATTACCCTCGAGAATCCAGACACAATTTTTAAAAAGTGCAGGACTGTGGAGAGGCAGCGCAACTTGCTTTGATCAGAATCGTGGTGCGATCAACAAGAGCTTGTTTGACTCCTCGTCAAGTGACGGTATAGTGACTCGTGCCCCCGAACGCTTGGATGCCCATCAAGCACCAACGTCCTGGACACATTCTGTTGGAGAACTTTTGCAAGTGTAATCCTAGGGCTACCTTTGCTGCTTGTAGTGCTACTAGAGTTGGAATGAAATTCCATGTCCAGCATTGAGTCTTTGCCATGGTGTTTGCCAAGCTGAAAAACTGTGCTTCTGTGTTAGCAGCCAGTCAAACAACTGTGCCAAAAACAGATTGTCGTTGAGAAAAGGGTGAAACTTCCTCATTTTGAATATGATTCAGCTGTATGAGCGAGGGTGTCCGTTAGGGTCACGGACCTGCACCAATAGCTTTATTCCCCTCAAACTTTTTACTGAAAAGGGTGTAGACCTATATTCAGGATTTGGAACAGTTTGATTTGGTCCTCGGTCGTGCAGTCACTCAAGTTCGGAAATATAGGGACTACAAATGTCGGCATGGGCAGGTCTTTGGGCTCTTAAAGGGGCCCTCCGGAGCGTTCTGCGATGGTCTATTTATGGTGGTAACTCAATCTACAGGCCCTAAGGATCCTAAAAATCATAAAATTACGGTCATGCGTGGCAGATTTCCCTATTAAAGTTGCTATCAAAGTCCCTGGCACGCCCCCCTTTCTGAGATGACCCCGGAAAACGGGAGGGGCATCTTTATGCGTCAGCCAATAGCAAGCGAAGGATTCTGGCATCTCTGCGCGTCACCAACGCGGCCGACCGCCGATCCGCGGAGGAATCTCTCGAACACGCGCAGACCGTCGTCGTCAAGGAGCCTCGACTTTGTGCTCAACAATCGTCGTTCGTCGCACCGCACCGTCGCGCTGCTGCTGCAATACGCAGTCGCATTGCACAGATGACAAGGAAAAGTTTGACTCGTTGACGTGGAAGGATTGCACAGGGGTGGAAGCGGGCTAGAGCCTTTTGTATCAGGGCTGGGAGCAGCAAAAGTCCCACTTTGGAGCAGTTTTGGAGCAGTAAAACGCTCGCTTTAGAGCAGCTCGGGAGCAGCAAAAATAAGTTTTGTAGCCGTCGAAGTAGGTTTTGCAGCAGGTCACGGAGGTCAAACAAATGTCTAAAAGTGATTTGTTGTTTCTAAATGTGAAAATGTAGCAAAAATATATGCATGCACATCCCAGAATAATTTTCAAGCAACATACATACACACCTTTCTATTTCTATTGCATTGAAATATGGAATATTGGCAATTTATGCAAAGGGAAGGCTTTGAGAACCATTCCGGCAGCAGGCAGAGTCATGATAGACTTTATATGGGAGGACCCGACAATAAAAGCCTAGCTTGAGTCACGCCAGTACAAAACCGTCTACTTAATAGACTAATTGTAAACATGTATCCAGAAAACTAAACCACTGCAAGGTGTCGGATAAACTACTTTCGCTGACTACAGTTTTTGTTTAATAAAGAATATACATGTTCAATCACTACTTAAAAAGCCCGATATCAAGTTTAGTAACAAAATACAAGGCTACTGACATTTGACAAAAATTCAGATGCAAAATAAAATGTGTATTTTATATCTTTAGACTACCACAGTCACTCGTACATATGCAGCTTTAAGCATCGACTATAAGAGCAACGCAACCTTATGTACTCCATAAAATGCTGTGCATTGCGTGTCTCCATAAAAAAATTAAGGTACCACAACATGTCTCAGAATAAAGCAGTCCTTGCTGACCTGTTTTCATTAAATGCAAATGTTCTTAATCCCTGTTCATAAAATACAGTAATCCCTACACCCAAGTTAACATACAAAGCTATATCTATATTACTTTGGATGGAAAAATATATTGTCTTAAAGATATCACAGCCACTAATACATATGCAGCATAAACACTGACTAGAAGAGCCCACAGGCTCCATGTTAAAAAAAAAAGGGGGTTGTGACTAAGCTGAATCTGTGTAATTTAGAAACAACTGAAGTTCACCTTTTTTTTCACAGTTTGAAGAGCAGAGTCAATTTCTTTTATGCGCTCGAGTACTTTGGGCAGTTTAGAGTTCACATCTCTTAGCAGGAGGTGTCCACTCCCCACCTTGTCCATGTCCTTAACTGCCTCACCCTTGCTTATGAGTTCTTGTGCACTCAGTAGAAGTGCTTTAAGAGAAGACAGTTTGAACGAGACTGAAAATGAGATGTAGCTGATCAGGCGCTGATCCCTGCGGGGCAGGCTGCCTTCTTACGTGACAAAAAGCCCACCAACTTCTCTCTACCCTACCCAACCTCCCCCCCCCCCCCCCTCCAACCAGATACACCTATACCCGAAACTTATGCGAGTAGGGTGGCTATAGCCACTTAAGGTACGTTCTTGACAGGAATCGGCAGCGTGGGAGTGTTGTACGGCATTTCTGATGTCACTCCCACTCCTCCACGCTAAAGGAAAGAAACAAAAAAGTGTGTAGCACTGCCAATTAACCAACTCGCTTAAGATCGCGGGTATTGTTTTCGCTAGTGGTCTGACGGCGGGAGACAACACACGACAGCGTGCACATTCGCGCACACAATGATGGTTTTGGTTTCGTTTTGATAAGACAAATTGAGCTCGAGAACGGATGTGCCTGTGCTCGCGATTCTTCACGGCTAAGCGTCCAAATATGGTAGGCTACCAAATAACAGGTAAAGCTAATAAAAACCACTTACTTCTGCTCATGTTAATGGCCAAGGTAGCCAACCGGTGCCGAGGCACCAACTCCCACGATCACGGCAAATCGGGACCACGGGCAACTGCATGCGCGCTCCAACCGCGCCAACCAACTATGCCCGAAACCAAACCGATGTGTTCGTATATCAAGCTCTTTGTAGTAAAAAACGACATCGCACTCTCGCTGAACTAAAATCGGCGCCTTGCCCTGAGGTTAGACATGGTTCGGAGCCCCAGTCGAGTTGGTACGAGTCACCCGCAGTGACACCTAAGCAAAAGTACACACTGATCTCAATGACAATTGCTGGATCGCGCTTGCCGCTCCCGCAAGTGAAGCCACCGGGCCTCACTCGCTTGGGATATGATTTGCCGTTTTTGCTAGCCTTTGCTGCGGTTTTCCAGCGTGCTGACGACACGTTTTCTACTCGTTCGTCGTCATTCGCCGAAGAAGTTTTTTGAAGACTCTGTGTATTGTTGAGACTTGCCGTTGTGAACACGTGGAAAAGTTTACGAAAGTGCAGTGTCGCAGGAAAAAGGCACAACGCGTCGAAAGGAAGGGCTGGCGGCGTGTTCAAAGCATCCTTGGCACGCCGAAGTGCCGTGTCTCTGTGCCTTCGCGCGCTTGGATACCGACCAAGAACCGACGTCGTGTGAATGTGTTTAGCGAGTGCAATGTGCGTGAAGCCGTATCAAAAGGTACAATTCGTCGAAAACGTGTCGCCGGTGTCGCGGCGTGATGAAAGCTTCCTTGGCCTTGCCGAGTGATGCATCTTTGTGCCTTCGCACGCTTGGATACCGGTCAAGAATTGACGCCGCGCCAAAGTTCTGAACGTGTGTCGCGCGTAGATGCCTTTAGATCATTTATATATATCGGCCACGGAGTTCTGGATCGTCCAGCTGTTCCGGTGAGTTGCTATCAATGAAAGGGGGAGATCTGTATGTGTTCTTATGTACTATATTAACCATGGCTATGTCCCAAATCTACTCTAATAGATTCCGTGGGAGCACGAATAGGGTAACGTTGTGGAGCCAGGGGGGTTTTCGAAAGCAAAAGTACAAGACGGCGAGAATGAAAATCTTTGAAGCGCGGCCGATATGGTCGTGTGCAATCTGTTGACCAATTACAATTAGGCGAGCCGCGCTCAAACGTCAAGTGCAATTAAGTAGGTTGATAATAAGCCAGCACTGATCAGTGATGAGGAGCTGTTGTGCGCGGTATTGTGTAAATCGTCTAAGGACGAAAAAAAGACGTACCTTCTCCCCATCTTCCGTCGCTAGTGGACGCTGGATTAAGCTCGTTCCCTAAACTGCGAGAGGGAAAGACGCTGATCCAGAGGCACGAACAGCTTCACGCACATTGCACTCGCTGAACACATACACGCGGCGTCGGTTCTTGGTCGGTATCCAAGCGTGCGAAGGCACAGAGACATGGCACTTCGGCGTGCCAAGGATGCTTTGAACACGCCGCCAGCCCTTCCTTTCGACGCGTTGTGCCTTTTTCCTGCGACACTGCACTTTCGTAAAATTTTCCACGTGTTCACAACGGCAAGTCTCAACAATACACAGAGTTTTCAAAAAACTTCTTCGGCGAATGACGACGAACGAGTAGAAAACGTGTCGTCAGCACGCTGGAAAACCGCAGCAAAGGCTAGCAAAAACGGCAAATCGTATCCCAAGCGAGTGAAGCCCGGTGGCTTCACTTGCGCTGCAGCGAACAAGCGGGGAAGCGCGATCCAGCAATTGTCATAGAGATCAGTAAAAGTACACACCACATGGTGGCCCGTGGCCAACCGTTTTCCGCTAAATTTAGAGAAAACACTAAAAAAAGAAAAAAAAAGTTGAAATTGGCGTTTTGGAGCTGGCTGGCGCAGGGAAGTGAATTGGCGCAGGGTGGCGC